AAATAAATAAATAAATAAATAAAAGTTCTCAATTCAATGTCCCTGTTATCAGTTATATTTAATAGAAAATAAACCTGAAATTCTACAAAAGCTTGCATCATTTTTATTCAATACCTAGCATCTCTACCTTCTTCTATATACTACTTCCTGAATGAATGAAAGTACATGTAAATACATTTTGAATGCCTGTCTACCAATCTCAAGAAGGAATATTAATGGAATTTAGAATTAATCCTGTTCAGTCCAGATTTCTATCTTGTTTAACACTACCTGTATTAATTTGATTGTAGACAAGTAGAGAGCCATAACTGATATGTTAGGAATGTCAAACTGCTATCAAATTGAGTGTCATATATTAGGAATTACTAATGCCATATGTCAAATGTGCAAGCTCTTCTTGTTACCATTTGTTTCTATGCCACTTTTCAGACAAAGCCTTCACAAACTAGCTTACATAAAAACTAAAAAAAACCCACAACTACATTGTCTCAATGAAAATAAAATAACATTCCTTAAAATCAGAAACTGAAAAACAATTCAGTTGACAGCAAACATGTATTAAATGGATCTAAACTGCTGAAAATGGAACAGCACTGAAAATAATTGGATATTTAAAAATTCAGCCACACATATTTACTAAAAGAAACCTGAAACAACTCAGTTTTCAAGCCCAGGTAAAAAATCTTGGAGCCAGAATCCTATTGTGTTATTTACTCTGGTGTAAGTGCAATTGAATTGCAGTGTTGTAATGCTGTTAGTTCACCAGTCACTGCTTAGATTTCTCATTGCATAACACATCACACAACAAACATGTAACAAGGAATAAAAGCTGCAATTCATTAGCTAGCAGCAATTTGCATTTATGCCACTGCTTTTACACCAGCATAAATAACCCATAGGATTCTGACTCAGAATGATGAAGCCAAGCCAAGGAACACAAGTATTGTGTTATAAGCAAAACAGTCCTGTTTCCAGTGCTTAACCTTAGGCACTTGGAAAGGCTCGTGCCAAGTAATAGGAAATATGGTTGTCAATGGCTGAAATCCTGTTGCTTAGCATAGTAAGTCACACTAGTGTACACATGAGACAGACGTGAACTATCATTTTGGCAGTTCGTTTACCAGTCCTACAGCTGTTCTGCAGTTTGGCACCACACTCTCTGCAGCAGGCACCCACTCAAAGGTAGTGCCCTGGCTTCCCTGCCCTGCCTCCTCTGGGCGCTCCCTCTCAGTGACTGCCAGAGGGGGTGGGGTGCCAAACTGCAGAACGCCTGTGGGGCCAGTAAATGAATCAGCAGAAACCATTGAACCAGTGGTTTATGCCCATCACTAGTGTAAACACAGTGACTCAATGGGGATTTGATTAACCAAATCCTCCATAGGTTCCATTGATTCAAATGAGTCTGCTCTACTTACAATTTACTGTGCTAAAATAAGCTGCAAATACAATGGGCCCACTTGAATCAATGGAACCTATGGAGGAGTTGATGATACATCAAATCTCGGCTTAATCAAGAGGCTTACTCTACTGCAATTTACTATGCTAAACAACAAGATTTCAACAACTATCCCTGGCAATCCATTCTGAGTCATGCAATTTAATTCCTTACCTTGATCAGTTCATCTCGCTGTAGTTTTATCAACATAACATTAGTGTTAAGGAGCTGATGTTATTCGAAGTTGCAATTTCACCTCTTCTTTTATCTTTACATCCTGAATACATCCTTTGCACAGGTTGTCTACACAGTACAAAATATGGGACCGCACCAAAACCTATATTGAAAAAGATGCAATTATCTACCTGTTGTACGCATAAATAACTTGTGTCGCTGACTTTCATATCCACGGGATGTATGCAGAGCAATCCAATTTGGATCTATTAATTTGGCTCTGCAAATTAAAGGATAAGAACATTGAAAATAGACAATTTTTGCAGCCAATAATTATGATATTAACAATATAAATGGCACACAGTCAAACAACTCCATAATTCTGCTTTATCAAAGAATACTAATGCAATTATTACCAGTAAAGAAACAGAAAATATCTCCTCATTCACATATTGCAGTATATTACTTGTATTTTTAGAAGTTAACTGTGACAAATGCCTTGCGTCATTCCTGTCACTCATAGGGGAACCTCATTTGCATAAGCCTATGAGAGGACTGGAGGGCCGGGATCAGTTAGTCAGTTAGAGGGAGAGTTAGAGGGAGAAAAGGTGAAAGAGAGAATGGGAGTGTGGAGGAGGGAAATTGAAAACTGAATACTCAAGATAGATAGTCAGAGAACTAGGAGAATGAGAGTGTGGAGGAGAGAAATTGAAAATTGAATACTCAAGATAGATAGAGAACTAGAGAGATCTGATATTATTAATAAGTTGGTTAAAGTAAATAAATCAATAAAACAAAATAACGAATTGAACGTGTAACCAAATATAAGAAGTTTTAATGAGTGATTCTATACAATGATTAAAAAGAACATCTGTGATTCAAATTCAATCTAAATAAACAAGTTATGTTGGCAGCAAGTGTCTGATTCAAATATTGTGCAAGTGTGGATAAGGGATATCCACTGATGGCAGCGAGTGAAAGAGAAAATGTCACCAGAGTGAAACCTGGTTTAGGCGAAACAAACAGGGAACACTGGGTGAAACGTCACATTAACATAAACAGGGAACACTGGGTGGAACGTCACATTAACATTAAAAGATTTTGAACAAATTTTCTCCATTTTAACCATATAGAGAGGTTACTTACCAGTAACTCTGGTTCTTCGAATGGTCACCTGTGAATTCACACTAATGCATTCAATCTGCGCCTGCGCAGAGATCTCTGAAATATTCCAGAGCTTTATGCTACGTCCATCAAGGACTGCCCCCTAGCCCACGAGGTCCGCCCGCCCTTCCAATTACCTCAGTTCCTAGAAACAGCCCGCCGCTGCATCAATAGATACAGAAGTGATGGACAGAGGGGAGGACGAGCAGGAAGTGTGAATTCACAAATAACTAGAGTTGTGAGGCTCGGTTCGCAAGTCAATGCCATTTTTTGCGAACGGAGCCGTTCGTCGCCTTCAGAGGTCTCAAAGAGCTTCCCCCCCCCCAACAGAGGAAGCCCTTTGAGACCTTCAAAGGCAAAAAGGCAGGGAAAAAGGCCTGGAAATTCAAATTTCCCATCCTTTCTCCCTACCTTTTTGCCTTCGGAGCTCTCAAAGGGCTTTCCACCTGACATCGGAGGAAGCCCTTTGAGAGCTCTGAAGGCGCCGATCGCGGCAGCAGGAATCCCCAGGGAGGTCTGCCATAATGGTAGGCAAGCCCTGGGAGACCTCTCTGGATGTCCCCGCCACCACGATCGGCACCTTCAGAGGTCTCAAAGGGCTTTCCCCCCCACCGACATTTGAATTTCCTGCCCTTTCTCCCTGCCTTTTTGCCTTCAGAGCTCTCAAAGGGCTTCCTCCAATGTCGGGGGGAAAGCCCTTTGAGACCTCCGAAGGTAATTTTTTGAAATGCTGGAACGGATTAATTCCGTTCCCATGCATTTCAATGGAAAATGGTACTTTGACTTAGGAACTTTTCGACGTATGAACACGTTCCAAAACGGATTAAATTCGTAAGTTGAGGTACCACTGTACAAGGAGAAGTAGAAATTCAGTCATGTCATAATCTTCTGGTTGCTGCACAATGGTGGAAGGCAGGGTTTCACTTAACTAGAGCTTATTTTGGGGGTAGGGCTCTTATTTTGAGCATCCTGAAAATTATATGAGGATTAATTTCCAGGTTAGGTCTTATTTTCAGGGAAACAGTAGTACTTTTTCTCCATTGACAGAACTTCCAAATTGAAAGATGAATGATAGGTGTAAAACAAATTCCTTGGCATGACTTTAATCCAAAATAATGGAATGGTACAAATACGAATGATATATATAACTTAGGACGCAGTCATATTGCCATTTTCCCCATGTTTGGTCCACTGCTGGGATGGGCTGGTTTGCTCCTCTTTTTGGGAATTAGACAACATAATTGCTAAAGTGAACCAGCTTGTTCCCAGAGCATTCCTACTCACACCTTTCTGGGTCCCTGTCAGGGCTACTACCTTTTTTATGTGGGTAGGATCACTCCATTTTGGTTGTTTCCAATGGGTGTAATCACTTGAAACAAACCAAAGTGGAACTAGCAACTTCAAATATGCCTCCCATTTCCAATTTCCCAATATTGTTACATGGCTTAAGAAGACAGCTAGCTACGTCACAATATTGGGCAATGCTGATGTGCTATACCACTCCATTCACCACGACACTGAAGGAATCACTTGTGCAGAGATATTCCTGTCATGGAGAGGGAATGCCCGCATGTACATTAGAACTTCTATGCATTCAAAAGGCATCTGGAAATGCCTGCATTTTTCTCTTTTTTTTCTAGTAAACAATAGGCATTTAAAAATAATTGGTACATAATTAACTTACACATAAGCACACAAAAGACTGTGATAAGCAGTTAGAGGTGGATAGTCAAGGCCCCAATACTGCAGATTATTGTCACTGGTGTTGAAGTACCTGAAAACAAAAAAAACAAACCCCTGAAATAATGCAAAGGTTTCAGCAACCTTTAAATACCATGTCATTTTGATTTAATATTCAAGTCTACTGTTAATAAAGTGCTTCAGTATAAATGTAAATTCCTTTTTTTCATGCAAAACATTCTGCATTTTTGTTGTGAATTCATTAATTTAAAAAAATGGAAAAAATTGATACAACTGTCATTATTTTTCCGGAGTGAAAAGGAGGTAAGATTCTGAGGATATAAAATGTGTTTGTATGGCCAGTTGATGTTGCTCTCAGAAATAAACTTTAATTTCAAAGAGAGAAGTTCCGAAAAATCTATCGAGCTACAAAAGGCTAGTGAGTTTTGTTTTGAGCATCATGATTCCCACAAAATGTTCTATTAACTTAAGCGAGAGGCAGACACAAGAATGTAAGGCAAGACTCAAACTCTTTGGACCCCTTTGGATTCCACAGTAATTTTGAATGAGGTAGAAAAGCACCTTGGCACCACAAACCTAAGAATATCCTTTGGCTGGCTCTGACATGGCATCATTTCAATGTGGAGGTTAGCCCCCATATTAACTGTTACAAATTTGAACATCTGCACAAGAGTGCAACAGAAAAGGCAATTAAGATTTGGAGGTGCAAAATAAAACAGACGAAAATGTACTCAAGCAACACTCTCTACAGAGAACATATTCTCACCTCAAAATTAGTTTTGAACTTATATATTCTAAGTGACTATTTCTGCAACTAGCAGTTAGCACTGTAACAACAGAAGCATGTTATTTTTATGAAGCATACATAGTTTTTTCTAGAGAAATAACTACTGTTACTTACTATGTATCGGAAATTCTTCTCAATTCATTTTTATGTACAGTACAAGCTAGACATGCTTACACACAGCTCTGCCTTATGCTTAACTCTTGGTTATGTCAGCATAGGATTGCAGAATTTGTGGTTTTGCAATTTTCAACACAGGCTATGTCTTACTGGAAGGAACTTAATACCTAACACCAGTTCCTCTGCTTGAAAAACAGACTTTAAACATCTGAACTAGAGACAAACGACTGAACACTCTTGTCAGCAAACATAAACTGCTGTGCTTGGAAAGGGGCGGGAAAATTGCTCCAAAGCAAGAATATCCATATGATGCTATTGGCTTGCAGAATGTGTAGGAGTTACTAAAAGTTAAGCATATTTTAACAGCTGTAACTAGGTTATTGCCACAATACGTGTGGACAAAATCAGTGACAAGAGTCATGAACTTGCTCAGATATATCAGTGATAACAGATTAAACTGGCCCTCTATAATGGTTGAAGAAAGTAACCTCCAGAGGACAATACAAAAGTGCACAGGCAAAGAATTTTCATATATACAGTTCCTCTTTACTTATGTTTCTGTGGAGAGCAGTCAGAATTTAGCCAGAACTTCAAGTTGAAAGCAGAAGGTTTTATTCAATGAAAATAAAAGTTACAAAAATAAGACATCAGAACCTTTAAATCCCTGTGAAACAGAGTGACTAGTATTTTATAATTGCCAAGGGGCAAGTTCTTAGCTTTTCCAGTCTATCCACTCAAATGCAGCCAATTTTTGACATTTATTACAATAAATGATATTTCTTGAATACCATATGAGCAGCCTGAAGTATCTTATGAACAATTCATGATAAATCATATTTCTTAAAGCTGCATCTCTGCCCTTATCCCACCATTCAAGATTTCTTATGTCAGGATAGTTTAATGTCTTCATTTGGAGTTTAATATTCTACAGTTTACTAGTTAACACCCCACTCACTTCATCATGGATTGCACAGTTATGTGTTCTTATTCCATAGAAAAGGCTTCTGTATGCTGATGGAGAGAAATGGTAAGAACTGTCACATTTCTAACTAGTGATATAGGAAGAAAAGATGCTGTCAAGATTGTCTTTGATAAATATATGCATGGACTCCAAAGAAAGATAGGGACAGCAGAAAGATTTAAATTCGTGCCTCTGGCTCAGAAAAATCACATGCAGGAAAACTACATACAAATCACATTTCCAGTTTACTGCCTACCCTTTTTAATACACTTTGCTTCTAACAAAGGACATGAACGTGAAGTTCATGGCAATATCATTTGAGCACAGGTGAGCCATATTAACACTGAAGCCTTTTCAAAGCAGACTTTGGGGACCAGCTTCCTAAATGTGATGCCTTCTATGCTGGAAAATGGATCACAAATGTGTCTGTTGTTGTAGCAAAAATGAACTATGATAATATTGTTTCCAGATGTACTTTCCACACTGGTACTGTCTGTTTTATAGTCATATTTGCAGGGCACATTGTACTTTTGCAAATTATATTAATGTATTGTCAGCATGTATAGGCTGACTGTAGTCTTCAGGTCTGAAGTGGTCTGAATAGCTTTTATCTCCTTGTCTAGAAGTACTCATTCTTCAGTCATCTATTAGAAACAACTCATTCTTAAACAATTCTTCTTCCCCACCCATCTGAGGGACATAAATATATTCTTGCACCATGGATTAAATATTTAAATTTTTCATTCATGAATAAAAATAGATTTACCCGCCAATTTTAACCTTTACTGTACAAAGCTACCTTATATCCAAATAGGCCACTGGTCTACCTATTCCGGTGTTGTCTACTCTTATATGCAGCAATTCCAACTAGCAACAACTTTTTAGCAGAGATTTGGTTTTGAACTCAGGAAACTGAGAGTTGAACCAGGGGCTTCAGTGTTATGTATGCAGCCCCTCTATTAAAAAGATCAATTAAAACCTGAGCACAGGGAAGGGAGCACAAGGAAGGGAGGTTCATGTCTACCTCTGCTTCTGTTTATCAGACTGGGTGGTTTATTATAGCTGTGGGATTAGAAAATGCCATGAGAAAGAGTTCTTCTTTTCCTGAGGCAGCCTGTTCCATTATAATTTCCTGCTCATAAATTGTGCTTCCTGGGTTACCTTGTCCCTCAATTGCTAATACCCTGCTTTTTCAGATCCTAACACGAACTATCTACTCCTTCTGCCTCAACTCCAAATTTCAGAGATTTGGTATCACTTTACAATCCAGACAATAACTGTAAAATGTTGTTTAAGTGAACAAGCTGAGAAATTATTTTCAAACACTCATTTTGTATAAGCTTGCTAAAGTTTTATTGGCTTGTTCTTTCAAGGACAAAAGGACCCAAAAATGGGTCCTTTACATGAGTTTTCATCTATAAAAAAAATTACTGTGCCCAAAGTTTCCAAATCATTTTGATACATATTAAATGTAAAATTATTTATGAATTATATTGCCATTTATGTCAGGTTTACATAACTTGTCGCAAATATTTACAGCTAATTCACAAGGTGCCAGGGTGCACAACTGGGCATGTAACAGGGCATGTGACAAGGCATGTGACCAGAATGTGCCCTGGTATCTTATCAATTAGATGTAATTGGATATAATAAGTAAAACAGACTTTATGTGGATAACAATAGGTTTCTGATTATAATGATATAGTTTGGAATAAACATGATCATCATACATTTGAGTATTTTAAACAATGGTACAGAGCCAGTTTTGGAACCCTATGCACATGTACCTGGAAATAAGCCCACTAAATACTATGAAGCTTATTTCTGAGAGAACGTGTAAAGAATTGTATTGTTAGTCTCAGAATTTTTCTACATATACACTCTGTGATTATAGCCTATTTTGTATAAAAAAGCATAACAATTTCAAACCAATACACACCAATGTTTGATTGGTAGATTGTAGGTGATTTCTTGCCAGTGTCTCTGAGCTTCATAGTCTCCAAACATAGGTGGCTTTCCTGCACCTAAAAAAAGAGATGTCAAACTACATACATATATTTATTTTTCAATTAATGTGTTCATTAACTTATCCACTGTTATTAATGTATGCTCTACTAATGCTTTTCATTTAATACTTTGTCCAGAATCCTACTGGTGTCCATGTAACAACTGTGTAAATTGCCACAGATGACTGCAGCTAACTGGTGAAGTGATGGGGCACATCTTAGTTGTGTAATTGCATGAATGACCAGCACGTGACTGAGATGCATCCCAGTACTTAAATCTATTACAATTAGCCATTACATGTTATGCAAACCTAACATAAACACCAATAGGCTTCTGACCTATGTTTTAAAGCTGACATGATCCCCATAATAAATGTGTGTCCACTGTGGGCAACTGAAATGATTTTTCAATAATTTTTTAAAGGAAAAGAAAAATATTTCAAGGCAGTGTTTAAAATGAGATAGATTCACTTTTCTGCATGCTTCTTTTATGAATATTTTCCTCAACTGAGCAGAAATAAAAGTTTTTAAATCATACAAGTTTGGATTGCCAAGTGCCTTGTGCAAAGCCTTATTTTCTGCCATCACAACATCCCTCTTTGCGCCTCATTTCATTTTATTTTAATTATTTATTTGTCTCATTTATAGGCCGCCCTTCTCCCAATAAGGGGACTCAAGGCAGCTTACAATAATCAAAAGAACAGAATTAAAAATACAGTAAGTTCTACATCAAAAAAATTAAACTATAAAACTGATTAAAATAAGAAAACCAAAAAAAGAAAAACAAAAAGCAAACAGGGAGTACAAGACCCATCGGAAATGCAAACAAAAAACCTCCAAAAAGCAAACAGAGAGTGCAAGACCCATCAGAAATGCAAAACAAGAAAACCAAAAAGCAAACAACCCCCCCAAGACCCATCACAGCATAGAAACATAATCCCACCTCCCAGCCCAAAACCCACCCAGAACAGTTTTTAAAAAGTAGAAAGCAGCACCTTACCGGGCAGTCCAAAGCCTCCTCCAATCACACATTCTCTAACCGCTGGGGCAAGAGAGCTACAAAGAAGCAACCTCTTCACCACCAATGGTTAGCAACTTGAATTCCCTGCCTTTTTCCCCTGCCTTTTTCTGTTCATAACTTGAAGCTCCTGTCACAAGTAGAACAACATCTTGCGGCTGGAGATGGTAGAAAATCGAAAAGGTCATATGTCGGGACATTCATAAATCGAGGCACCACTGTAACCCACTTCCTCCAGGAATCCTTAAAGACCACCACATGCTCCAGACCCTTGCCCAGAAATGGAATACAGTTGTGCCTCAACTTACGAATGTCCTGACATACGACCATTTCGAGTTGTGACCAGCTCCAGCCTCAAAATTTTGCTTTGACTTGCAGCCAGATCTTCGAGTTGCAACCAGGAAAGAGCAGGGGGAAAGGCAGGGAATTCAAATAACCTTTGTAGCTCTTTCACCCCAACGGTTAGAGTGTGTGCGTCAGAGGAGGCTTCGGACTGCCTGGTGCTGCTTTTTGCTCCTGGGTGAGTACATTTACAGGGTTTTGCAGGGTGGGTTTGGAGTGTGGGGGGTTATGTTTCTGTGCTGTTTTGTTGTTTTGTTTTTTGGTGCTTTTTTGGTTTGTTTTGTTTTTTGTTTGTTTGTTTTGTAGCCTCATCACATTCCAATGGGGCTTGCAGAGCCTTTTTTGGTGTGCGTATTTATTTTTTGCAGCCCCTTCGCGTGTTTATTTTTTGCAGCCCCTTCGCATTCCGATGGGACTGGCTTTGTTTGTTTGGCGATTATTTTTCGCAGCCCCATTGCATTCCGATGGGACTGGCTTTGTCTGTTTGTTTGGTGATTATTGTTTTTTTTCCAGGCCCATCACGTTCCAATGGGGCTTGCAGTGTTTTATGGGGTTTTTTTTTGTTTTTCTTTTATGCTGATTCCAATGGGGCTTGCAGTGTTTTATGGGGGTTTTTTTGTGTGTTTTTTTATGCTGGAACGGATTAATCCTGTTCCCATGCATTCCTATGGGAAATGGTGCTCCAACTTATGACCATTTCGAGTTACGCCCATCTTCTGGGACAGATTATGGTCGTACGTCGAGGCACCACTGTATATGAGACTGGTCAACAGTTGTCCCTTAAAGTGGGATCCATGGAGGGCTATCACATTTAGTCCTAGACACCTGACAAAGAATATGTAGTGACATTTAGTCATAGTCTTCCAACATTCAAAAGCAAATTTGGGGGATCTGTTTTGGGTGTAATGGAGAGTGAAGTAGCACAGAGTCACTAACTGCACATTTTTCAGAAAACTCATCCAAAAGAAGTTAATTTTTCCAAGCTCTGATAAACACAACTCCACTCAACTTTCTCTCAATCTAACCCATATCTTGCTCCCACTGTCCATTGCTCAAAAGTATTTTCCTCTTCTCCTTAAGTCCCTATATAAACAGCTACCACTTTTCTTACTTTCAATATCATGCATTTCTTTTCCAAAACCTTATTTCTCAATCTGATTTGAAGCTATACTTAAGTCTAATATTAAAACATAATTATCAGAATTGTGCTTTACTCTGGCTAAATTAAATCGTTCTCTACTTACTCTTCTCCTTCAGCCAGTACTTCTGACAAATAAGTATGAGACTGGGGACACCCTCAGAGATGGTCAAAGTGGTGTGCCGTCCGTCTCATGAAGAGGAAACACTGAGGAACCACTGACAAATGTGATGAAAGATTTACAGGAATTGAATTTAGAGACAGAAGCGAGAGGGGCACTATTTTTGCAGGAAAAGAGGAGAAGGATAAAAAGGGAAAGGACGAGGGGCAAGATTTGATAGATTTAGGAGAGGGAGAAGCATGTTGGATGGAAAAGGTAGAGGAAAAAGAGGAGTTGGTAGATCTGATACAAGAAGATCCCTGGACGGGAGAGTAGGTAGAGTTTAAGGTACCGAAAGAGTACGCAGAAAAAGAATGGAAGAGACAAACATATAGGAACCCTCCTTATTTGGGGCGGAAAAAGGAAAGAGAGGAAAGAAAGAAATATCATTGTATTCGTGAAGGCTTTCATGGCCGGAATCTAATGGTTGTTGTGGGTTTTTCAGGCTCTTTGGCCGTGTTCTGAAGGTTGTTCTTCCTAACGTTTCATCAGTCTCTGTGGCTGGCATCCTCAGAGGACAGAACTCTGTGCTCTGTGCTCAGAGGAGAGCACAAAGTGCTGTCCTCTGAAGATGCCGGCCACAGAGACTGGAGAAACGTTAGGAAGAACAACTTTCAGAACACGGCCAAAAAGCCTGAAAAACCCACAACAACCAAAGAAATATCAGGCTTGGGTACAGAGAGAGAAACAATGGAAGGAACACAATCAAGGTACGGAGAGACCTAAGAGACCACGTGGAGCCAGTCAATTTTGCCCCAACCTAAGACCTACACTGGGCACCACAGGTGGGCTGGATATTTCACCCCCATCAATGAGACCAGGACTAATAGCTGCAGATGAGTCGAAATGGTACAATTATGCTTTGAATTTTTCATCCCTCTCATTGAAGGGGAATCTGTTATTGTTTGAGGAAGAAAAGTTTGGTGCCACCTCTATAGAGCAAGAGGCTGATGTCATTGTTGACAAAGACTACAAAAGTTTGTTAAATAATAATGACGTTTTATTAGAAAAAACTGAAGCGTCAGAGTCACCCTGCTGTCAAAAAGGGAGGAAGGGGATCAGACAGGGAACACAATGAGTCACTCCATTATTTTCCTCAGTTACTGCTCTTGTCAGACGTTCTTTTAGTTTTTCATGGATTTTTGTATCAATACAAAGCTTTCATGGATTTCTTCTTAAATTAGTATTACAAAATAATCCAATCATGGGAGTACACATTAAACTTCTAGGCATGCAGATTATTCACTTCCTGTCGCTTCTGATTAGCTATTGAAAGCACACACTTGTTTCTACTAAAGTATTGACTCTAACTTCATGGAGATTGAAGAGTTTCTTTTAAATATAGGAAAGCCATCTATAATTCTCCCATGTGATCTATGAACAATTCACACAAGCAGCACAGAAGGCTATACTCTGTCCTTCTGTAAGACTGAGAGCAAATGTCTTTTACAAAAAAGGCACATATCAGAAACAACAGTGGCCCTCCAATTAGCAGATTTGCGGTGTAATGAAAAAATAGGAAATTGTTTCCCTGTATCCAGTGGTGTACCTCCACTGGCTCCCACTGCTGCTGCCAATGTTAGACAACCCTATTATCTCCTGCGGTCTTTCATGTACCCCCAAAACCTACTCTGTTAGACAACAAAACCCTGTTGGTGCCAAGAGCAGAGAAGAGAATCAAACTCCCAACCTCTGGCTCTGACGCCAGATACCTACACCATTGAGCTATCCAGCAGATCCGCTAACACAATTTTGGGAAAGATTCTTGAAAAGTATAAAACTGGCCCAGGTGTCACAACTCAGAGAAAATGAGTGGATTTAGGTTTTTCTGTCTCTGAGTGTATGGGGCACAATAACTCATTTACTGAAATTATGCTACAGTATTTCTGAAAAAGGTGAACGGTACAAGACTAAACCTCTGGCAGCTGAATTTTAGTGACATGAAAGGATAGCAAGTTATTTATCTATTTTCAACTGAAAAGGAAGTGAGAAGGTATTTAAAAGATTTCTACCTCAGGGATCAAAATAATTTGGTTAGCCTTGGATGTTATGCACCTTGACTGATGATGGCAGGGAAGAGCCATACGCTACTTAACCTCAAGCAGCAAAATGTGTTTGCTCAGCCTGGAATGATATGCAGACTGTTCCTGTTTATAGAAGCATTACTGCATACTACTACTCATGTGCAGACATGCATAATACTAAAAAAAGCTACTTCTTTCTGCTCATCTGCCAACATAATAAACAAATATTTACAAGTGAACAAGATAGATGCAGAATATTCAATAAATATTCACATTGCTATGCTTCCAAGTGAGCAATAAGGTCCTACTGATTCCATAGGAAGCAATAATGTGCAACTGATCTCTTGATATTTGATTACAGCCTTTTATTTCAGACCTCTTGCGAGTCATAGTTCAACATGTTCTGATAGTAAGACTGAAATATCTTCTAGAATTACCAACCAGTGATGGTTCCACCTTGAAGCAGCTTATTATAATGTTCTCCTCAGTTATCAGTACAATACTGAAGTGACATTAGCACCTAGATTGTAACCAGCCACAGGTAAGTGCATGAAACTAAATATTAATTCCAAAAAAAGTATAAAAGTTTGAGGCTTTCATTTTAGTTTTTGCATTTCCTAAATGCATCTTGGGTTAATATTCTGGACAATCAGGCTACCTAATTCTCACTGAAGTCACTGGACTATAGACAGGCTGTTTGAAGGACTACAGCCCTGAATATAGAAAGGGAACTGCTTCCCAATACAACATCTGGAGGCCAACATGTTCTGCACTGATACACTTATTTTTCTTCCCTACAGTTCTCACAGCCATCTCTGAACTTCTACAAAAATGTATTCCCATGCACTGTTTCAGACACATTCTGAAAGTATACTACCTGAATAAGAACCAAGTGATACAGTCCAACGGACAATAAGTCCTAGTAATGCAGCAATTGTCATTAAGCTCCATTTTTCCATAGCAGCTCTTCAAACGGTATCCAAAATCACCTTGAACTAAAAACAGGAAAGAAATGATTTCATACAATTAAGGTGTCTGTCCTGGCAGTTTACATGTTTAGAATTCTGTACTGTACTCTGGCATAAAACAAGACAGTATGTCAGTACTACCTTTTTACTTATGCTATTACAGTGAAGCCAGTTAAAGCAATTGGTGAATTCAGCAAAATAATCTACAAAGTTGAAAATGCTAACAATAAGATATAGCTCAAATGGAATTTTCCATTAGTGAATTAAATTTAATACAAGTGTGGATGAGTGCAGTTCTGCTCAGGCCAAACCAAGTAGAATATAGGCTGCTGTGATAAATTAGTAGAAGTATAATTAAAGAAACCCAGTTAGACAAACTGAATCACTACAATTATTTGAAGGGGCAAGAGGCATTTGTTTTATAGCATTTGTAACAAGCAGAGACTTAGACTAGACAATGAAGTGCAGTCATGATCAAAAGGTACAGTTGCATATCATGCATCAATGAGTCCCATTGGTGGATTACTCCAGGCCACTGTGTGTAAAAGTGCAATCTTATGGTACTTTCTTATGTCACTGATCTAAGTGCAAAATACCTTCTCAGTCAGGCTGAGCACACACAAAACATGTGTATGACCCAGTCAGCACTTGGAGACATGTGCATGACCCAGTCAGCTCCTCCAAGTGCCAAACAAGTTGTTTTGTAAGCCATTTCCCATCTTAACTGAGACAATGAGCAGCACATAAAATAGGTAAGTGCCAGCCCAATTGCTTTCTCCATGTAAAGACAGCTCCATGCCACACAGAAATAGAATGGGTGCTTGGAGGAGAGACTTGGGGGGGCACTCCACTTAGTAATGTTACCCATTCCTGCATTACATTTTAAATACTGATACTACTAATAATAAGCTTAGAACTGCAGAGCTAGAAGAGACCTTATGGATCATCAAGTCCAGCCCCTGCCAAGGAGGCATAACAGGGAATCAAATTCCTAATCTCTGGCTCTGCAGTCCAATACCTAAACCACTAAGCTATCCAGTAGCTGGCTGTTGTGGTTTTGGCCGTGTTCTGCAAGTTTTTCTTCCTAATGTTTCACAAGTCTCTGTGGTCAGCATCTTCAAAGGACAGGAGATAGAACTCTGTGTTCTGGACCAGAACACAGAGTTCTAGCTCCTGTCCTCTGAAGATTTATTCATTTATTTCTTCACATTTATTTCCCTTCATGTCTCCAGTGAGCTCAAGGTGGAGTATATGGTTTCACTCTTCCACACTTTAATTTCACGACTTTGTGAGCTACATTAGTCTGAGAGGATACAGCTGACCCAAGGTCACCTAATGAATTACATGACGAAATGGGGATCTGAACCCAGATCTCCCATCTCATACTCCAGCATTCAACCCACACTAACACTTGAGTCCTTGAAATCTGTCAGTTAAAACATTTTCCTGGCATGGCAGAGGTAGTGAAAATAAATGTGATTATTAAAATCCAGACTATTTGGAGGTATTAAAAGCACACTTTTGAAATATTTTATATGTACATCTTCATTACCCCTTCACGGATTGCTGCCTTGTTGTGGTGAAGGGGTTTGAGTAATTCAGAGAAGCTATGGTGTGAGCAGGAGAAAGGAAGTGTGCCGTCCTCCGCGAAAGAACAGATCGAAGTGAATGAAGGTTGCGTCATGGGGAGTTGATAAAGATAGATGACACAGAAGGAGGGAGTAACAAAGTCATAGAGGTGTTCTTGGCAGAGGGTAGACAGAAGAAGGAAAAGGAGGAGCTAACAACTTGGAGGTCGGATGAGATAAAAGAGGAGGAAAGAAATGGGTGGAGGCAGTTAGAACTGAAGGATGAAGCAGTGCAAATGGTGGAAACAGGAGAAGAAAGAGATCGAATAGCGTAGTACGAGACTTTCCTAATCTTATGTGGGGAGGAGGATTATTGCCTGACCCTCCAGAAGCGACAAAGAAAGATAAGTGTGAAGTAGGAGGGAGATGGAGTTCGGGGACAGTACAACCTTTCAAGGATTTGGAGATGAGAGGGACCCCTTGTGGTTTCAGCCCCTATCTCCGGCGGTTGGAGGGGCAGCAAGTGAAACACCCTTGCTGCAGGACAACCTGCGCAGTGTTGAACGCACCCATACTGAACCCAGCGGTAACCTATATCCCTGGAGTGAAGAAACCTTAAAAGATTCTAAAGATGAGAAAGTTGTTAAATGAAAGCGTTATCATGTGTTATCTGATGTTGAACTGTTGGACCCGTTTGGTCTAAGAATAGTTGATGTTAACCGCAATAAAGAACCATTTTTTGTACCTTCGGCGTCATCTCCGTCAATTCTTCCGCCGAAACCCCAGGCCCGCCCATACTTACAAAAGAACCCAATCACATATGGGCTATGCCGTGCAGGGGCACCCAAGACAGACATGATCCACCTGGAGCAGGAACTGGCAAGCCACTCCAGTATCTTTGCCAAGAAATCTCCATGTAAAGAAACAAAAGGCTAAAAGATACAACACTGGAAGATGAGCTCCTCAGGTCAGAAGGTGTTGGCACCGGATCTCAGTTTTCTAAGAATAGTGTCTGGTATTTCCAGGACCTCTTGTTGTTTAAGCTAGCTTTGGTGGCAAAGGATCAGATAAAATGTTTGGAGGGAAAAGCTGTACAGTACTGGGATACAATCTAAAAAATGATAGAATGATTTCAATGCAAATCCAAGGCACACCTTTCAACGTAACAGTCATCCAAGTTTATGCACCAAATACCAAGGCTGAAGAGGCTGAAACTGACGTATTCTATGAAGACTTACAACACCTTCTAGAACTGACACCAAAGAAAGATGTTCTTCTCATTATAGGGGACTGGAATGCTAAAGTACGGGGACAAGAGATAAAAGAAACAACAGGTATGTTTGGCCTTGGAGTTCAAAATGAAGCAGGGGAAAGGCTAATAGAGTTTTGTCAAGAGAACAAGCTGGTCATCACAAACACTCTTTTCCAACAATACAAGAGGCGACTCTATACATGGACATCACCAGATGCTCAATACCAAAATCAGATTGATTAGATTCCCTGCAGCCAAAGATGGAGAAGCTCTATACAGTCAGCAAAAACAAGACCTGGAGCCGATTGTGGCTCTGATCATCAATTTCTTATAGAAAAGCTCAAGCTTAAACTTGAGAAAGTAGGAAAAACCACTGGGCTAGTCAGGTATAATCTAAACCAAATCCCATATGAATACACCGTGGAAGTGAAGAAAAGATTTAATGGACAGAGTGCCTGAAGAATTATGGATGGAGGCTCGAAAAAGTGTACAGGAGGCAGCAACAAAACCCATCCCAAAGAAAAGGAAATGCAAGAAAGCAAAGCAGCTGTCCAACGAGGCCTTACAAATAGCAGAGAACAGAAGGGGAACAAAATGCAAGGGAGATAGGGAAAGTTACAGAAAATTGAATGCAGACTTCTAAAGAATAGCAGAGACAAGAGGGCCTTCTTAAATGAACAGTGCAAAGATATAGAGGAAAATAATAGAAAGAGGAAAAACAGAGGTCTGTTCAAGAAAATTGGAGATATTAAAGGAACATTTTGTGCGAAGATGGACATGCTAAAGAACAAAAATGGCAGGGACTTCACAGAAGCAGAAGACATCAAGAAAAGGTGGCAAGAATATACAGAGGAATTATACCGGAAAGATCTGGATGTCCCAGACAAACCAAATAGTGTAGTTGCTGACCTTGAGCCAGACATCCTGGAAAGTGAAGTCAAGTGGGCCATAGAAAGCATGGCTAACAACAAGGCCAGTGGAGGTTATGGCATTCCAGTTGAACTATTTAAAATCTTAAAA